CGTTGCTGGGACAAATACCCAACACTCAAAATGAATGTATTTGACTCTTTAGGTGACTACTATAAAATAACCCTATAAATTATGTGTCCTGTATTAAATTGTTTCCCTTGTAAACCCTGACTAAAACAGTATCTCTACAGACTTTTTCTAAGGAATCAATAAAATAAAATATCTGTCTTTTGATGGTAGTATCTCTGAGGACTTTCTCCTAAACCTTATGTCTGGGAAAACGTCTCCATTCCTAGGGCCTTTGTTATCTCTGCTGCTCATTCCCAAGTCCAGGCTCCAGTCCAGATGGCTCTAACCCCAGCCTGGAATATCCAGCAACCAAGAGGAACAAGCACACCTGAAGAATTACTTTACTAGCTCCTGAGCATTATAAGTGGTCCTTGCTATCTTCAGAAAATTGGACCCAGAAACCCTGGCCCAGATTCTGAAGTCCATAGATGCTAAGGTCCCACTATTTTCCCGTTTTTTTTGTTTTTTGTTTTTTTTTTTTTCAGGTAAGATAGCAGTTGATTTCTTACATGTGTTACACTTGGCCACACTTGAGAACATATAACTAGTCCCAGAGTTACCAGTTGAGGGCAAAGGACCAAAAGGGACTGTTTGGTAGAAGCCAGATGGGCCTCTCAGGGGTGATCGAGGTCATGAGAGCCACTGAGGCCAGCACTCCACAGGCCTCCCTGGGTGCACATATGGACTTTACTTGCACCTCTGGCTGCCTCATCTCTGTCTGTCCTTTTTAGCCCAAGTATTTGTGTCATCCTCCACCTGGCTTTTAGGCTGTGATATTTTTAAATGGCGTAAAGGATGAGGCCCTTGTCAGAGAGTTTAAATCCTCTCTAGATTTCTGGTAATACTAATCCGATAGAGATGCTGTGGAGCAGGATGTGTGCTTGGTTAATCCTGTCACACTAGAAATCAAAGAAAGATTATAGGGGCTGGGGAGATAGTTCAGTAGAATAAGCACCTGCCTGGCAAGCACAAGGGCCTGAGTTCAAACCCCGGTTCTGCCAAAAACAAAAAACAAAACAAAAACAAAGACTATAAAGTTTAGGTCAAAAAGACAAAGAAGGCACAAATTTTAAAAATGGCTCTTGGACTCAGGATATAGCTCAGTGGCACAAGTGTTTGCTTAGCAAATGCAAGTTCCTGAGTTTGATTCCAGGTACATACACACACACAAAGGCTTTTTTTTTTTTTTTTTT